AAGCCTTTTCCGTTACATGAAGTTTATTTTGCTTCAACCTATTTCATGGCAACCTTTTTGGTCAAACACTCTAAATTTAAGGGTGTTGTTTATCATCCTTATGTAATATAATTTCGCCTCTTTGGTTTTTTTTTAAAAAAAAAAAAAAATATAAAACCTCGAATCACTTACTATTCTTGTAATTAAAATGAAATAACTTTACTACACTTAGCCAAATATTTGAATATTTACTACACTTGGCCAAATTTTAGGGTATTTACTACATTTGGCCAAACTTTACTACACTTCGGCCAAGAATATCTTTATTAAAGTTTGGCCAAAAGGGTCGTTCTTTTAGGGATAGAGGGAATAAGATTTTACTTTGTACTCCGTATTAGATTTACCTTAATTTAAAATTTAATATTAAATGTTTATAATTTTCACATGTACATGACCAAATATATTTTGGTTAAAGATGCACATTTGAAACCGTGTAATTGTCCAATTTTCATTTCATAAACCCTAATTACTTGTTTAATTGTCCAATTTTCATTTCATAAACACTAATTTTTCAATTAACTTGTTTCCCTTATAATTTTTTTAATGTATTAATTTATAATACATTTTTTTAATTATTTATTTTTAATGAACTTATCTAAACTTATTTTTTTTAAATGTGAAAATTAAGTGAACATTACAAGGCGACAAGGCATTGGTAAGAATCAATAGAGATAAAAATTATGAACTTTATTCTGTAGCTTTAGGTTGCCACAACACTATTGTAAAACTCTACTTCGTATTATTTAAGCTATAGCCATAATGGCAAGCTATAACCTTATTTATTACATAAAAAATAAAAATAAAAATAAATATTCAATAAAAAAATAAAAATAAAGACATATATAAAATTGAAAACAAATCAATTTATTCAATCAAAGTGGCTTTGGGTGTAACTCTAACTATTTAGAAAATACAAGCAAGGACTTTTCATCGACCATTGTGGATTGCTCTAAATAATAATATAACAATCTAATATTGATAAAACCCTACATCTTATATCTTAGTTCACTCTATCCATAAACCTTATACTCCCTCCATTTTTAAATACTTGTTCCATTTCTTCATGCGCGGAGTTTTAGGAGAAAATAATAAAACACAGAGGTAGTGGAGTAGGTGGAAGAATAAAAATATTGTAAAAAGCAAAAGTAGTGGAGAGAATCGAAGGAGAGATAATATGAAACTAATAGAATATGATTCATGATGGTCCACTAGGTGAGAGAAATTAATTTAATATTGTAAAAGTTTTCCATATAAAGAAATGGAGCAAATATTTAAAAACGGCTGAAAAAGGAAAGTGGAGCAAGTATTTAAAAATGGAGGGAGTAACGTACTTCGGCCCTGTTCTTTTGAGTTGTTCTGCTCTACTTAAATCTGCTATGCTCTGCTCTGCTTAAATTTGCTCTTTAATTTAGGATAACTTTTGTTAAATTTAGGGTAACTTTTATCCATAAAGCTTAAATAACTTTTATTTATATCAGGACGACTTATGTATAATGGGTAACTTTCATTCACTATTAGATAACTTTTGTTCATTTTAAACTAACTTTGAAGCGGATGTACAATATTTTATTGTACATCCGATTTTTTAAAAATGTTTGTCTTGTTCTACATACCAAATTAAAGACGTATGAAGTAACATCATTCATTTCCAATAATTTAAGCTACCTAATAAGGGTCGATTTTTATTTACTGAAAACAATTCTAGTGAACATAACTAAACTGAAATGAACTGATTGGAGCAGAACTGAACTGACTTATTGGAGTTGAACTGAACTGAACTAAAATGAAATGAATTGTTTATAAGAGAAGGAAATTAAGAACTAAACTAAAACTGAAATGAAATGATTGGATCTGAGCTGAACTAAACTGAAATTAAACTGAAGAGAACATGCCCTAAATTCATGGTCAACAGATCATGTATGCATAGTATAACAATTGCAACAAAAATAATGTTAGTAAGCTCAATTTCCGTTCAAAGTTTTCTCAAAATAAAATTCTCACCTAGATAATTTACATCCATAAAAATGACACAAAGAAAAATGACAATATATTTATTAGGCTAAATTAGAAAAAAACACCTGTTAAAAGACCTAATTTTGTTTTTAACACCTTAAGATTTCGAAGTTTAATTATAACACCTGTTAAAAAATAAAAATTTTGCTTTCACCACCTAAATTGGAACAACGTTAGAGGATCTGTTAGCTGGGCCCACAATAACGGCTATTTTTTTCCAAACTGCTTTATATAGTTACGACATCCTTCACTAATGTAGAATTGTTGAGCTGATTACACAAAATTGCTTCACATTTTGCGAATTCTGACTAACAAATTGGCGAAATTGTTTGATTTTACCATCATTGTTTGGGGGACGTAGATATCAAATCAGGTAATTGCGTCAATAGCACTTTAGAAACCCTAATTTATCTTTCAAAAATAAGGCGTAAATTAATCTATATGTTGTTGACTTAAATGCATAATTCAGGTCGTATCTGGCAATAGTCATGTAATTCGTAAATAGTTAGGGTTCATTGTGTGTTAATTGTGCTGTAATTTGCGAGAAAATGAAATTAGGGTTCATTGTAGAAATAATTTGGGGGTTTTGATTTGTAGGAGTGACTGTTTAATTCCCTTGGTTCAATTGTATTTTTTTCATAGTACGAATGGTTTTGCTTATTATGGATGGCAAATTGGTGCAGGAAATGTCTTCTACAAGTTTCTCACCTTCAAAGGAGAAGAAGTGCAAATGTGGTGTTCCCTTTGCAAAGCTTACCAGTTGGACAAGGGAGAACCCTGGTCGTAAGTTCAGAACATGCAAGTTCTACGATCCTGTAACTGAGAGCAGAGGTTGTAAAGCATTTGAATGGGTGGATGAACAAGATGGGACAGCCTGGCAAACAGAGGTGATCAACAATTTGTTGCTAGATAAGAAACTGTAGAAGGGGGAAATTAGTGATTACAAGAGGAAAGTTGATGATCTTGGTGGACAGTTGAGGTGTTTGCTGAATGAAGTGGACAGGCTGAAAATGAAATGCAAGGCTTTAAACTCTGACAGGAACAAGATGAACATAGAGATGCATGGAAGGAATGCTAGATCAGATCACTCTGTTCTTAGTCTTGCTGTTGGGATTAGTTTGGTCATATTAGTGATCCTTCTTATTAGGGGGTTTGTAATGCATTAAGTATAACTTGTAATGCTAGTAATTGCATGAAACAGTAATATGGTAATGTAATGATTTATAAGTGGCAGTGAACCACTATTGCAAGCAAACTAATGTACACAATTATGAAAGCAAAGAATTAAGTAAGTACCTAAGTAGTTGATATTGCATTTAAGTTGTTGATCAAATTTGTTGTTGCAGTGCCTAACAAAATTGGCTGGTAAAGCCTTAAAGCAAAGTATTAATTTAACAAAACAGGATCCTTGTCCTATACCCAAAAGTAAAGCTACAAATATTGCAACTGATTGTTCAGAAAATACAACCAACAACTAAAGTTCAGAAAAACAATTCAAACATCATTGTGTCAGCCCTCCTTGTCTGGAAGTCAGCAGCTTAGCCCTCCTTGTCTGCACTCCAGTAGCATTGGGTTCAGGTTGGCTGGAAGAGGGGGTGGTGTGATGCTTGGCTTGTGGCTGCCCTTGTTGACTGTGTGAACCTTTCCTCTTACTCAATGGTTCACAGCCAGGTTGCTCTTGGGGAAAAGTCCTATTCCCAATGCTGTTTGGACCAGCCCCTATTGCACTCTGTTTATTAAACACAAATACCAATAAACAAGTATCAACATCCAATTTCATCACAAATTTTAAAAGAAAAGTTACAAATCCAACAGCATACCTTTTTAGCAGCTTTGATCTCCCTCTTCTTCCTTTGCTCAACTACCCAAGGTGAATTTAAAGGAGGCCTTCCTGCAGTTCTCTGCTCAGTTGGTTCAGGTTCATGTGGGCCCTTGCAAGTCTTGGGATAGTGGCCAAATCCACCACAAATCCTACACTGACTTTTCCTCCTCTTTCTTCCCTGCTCCCCTCCTGTTGCAGATGTTCCCTCCCCAGGTTCCAACTTCCTCTTCTTCTGTTTAGGTCTTCCAGGCTGCTGTTTGAATGCTGGTGGATGAGGCTCTCTCATGTTCACTCTCTCCCAATGCTTTGGGCCTGGCATAGGTTGAATTGCAGGCTCATATGCTGCTCTGTAAGTGTCCATAGTGTAATAGGGGTGGACAAACTGCTCATCATCAACCCTCTGATCCATTATGCATGCAAATGCATGAATACATGGGATGCCTGTTAATTGCCAGTGATTGCAGGAACAAGACCAATTTGGCAAGTCAACTAGAACCTGGTCATCATTCAGGTGCACTTCATAAGTGTCATCCCTGGCAGCTTCAATTATGCAATTCCTAGCCACATAGCTCATCCTCTGAAATAGCTTATGCACATATGGAGTGATGTTGGTTGTGATTTCCTTGGAGTCCTCCCACTTCTCATTATTTCTCCTCATCATGTACCTCCTCATCCATTCCATTTGGGTGAGGATAGGTTTGTCTCTTGCATCTCTGATAACAGAGTTGAAAGTCTCACACATGTTGTTTAGTAACATGTTGGACCTGCAACTGTCACTGAATGCATGTCTGCACCAGTGATGAGTGGGGATGTTCTCCAAATAATTGTAAGCATCCTCATCAAGCTCCCTAATCTGTTGCATGGCTATCTGAAACTCAACCTACAACCACAACAGGAACATTATCATGAAAGAATAACATACACAACTGTTGTTGCTCTTATTTTGCTTTTATACACAACAGGAACATTATTACATGAAGTAGGTACATGAACAGGAACAATATCATGCATTTACTTATTCAAAATAATTTAAGGTCACCTAGAGACTTACAAATGTTGTTGCTCTTGCAGCACTCCAAAAGAGCTCTTTGAAAACTGATCCAGTGAACTTCAACTTGAAATTTGCCTAAATGTGCCTAACACAGAACCTAGTCTCTGCATTAGGCACAACTTCAGACAGAGCTTCAACCAGTCCCTGTTTAACATCATCAACAATTACTTGTCACACTTCAAACAATAAAGAACAGGACAGAAAATAAGACTACAATAATCAAAACAATATTACCTTCTGCCTGTCTGACATGAAGGTGAAGCCTGCCCCATCTGCACTTCCAATGCATTGCATCAAGGATTCCAGAAACCAGACCCAAGTCTCCCTGTTTTCAACCTCACAAGTTGCCCAAGCAATGGGGTAAATGTTGTTGTTCCCATCCTTGGAGACTGCAACTAAAATCTGGCCTGGATAACCTCCTTTCAAGTGGCAGCCATCCACCCCTATAATTGGCCTACAACCCTTCAAGAACCCATGCTTCAAAGGCCTTAAACAAATAAACATCCTCATAAACAAGGGAGGCTCAGGCTTTTCAATGCCATCAATCACAACATTACAACCAGACCCAGGGTTGTATTTCATTACAGCCTTCCCATAATCCCATACCCTAGCATATTGCTCTCTTGCTGAACCAAAAATGATCAACTTAGCTCTACATCTTGCCATCCAAGCCCTGTAGTAGGTCACTTCTACCCCCAAGTCATGAAGCACCCTATCCTTGATTTGCTTAACCTTCCATGATGGGTTAGTTCTGAAATCCTCAAGATACCTCTCAGCAATGAACTCTGCTGTGACCTTCTTGTTCTCCCTGCTTCTCACACATTTATGCTCCAACTTCATGGTTTTTATTTGCCAAGTCTGTTGTCTTTTTAACTTAGTAGCATGGATCTTGAAACTACACTTCACTCCACCCCTGCATATACACAAAGGCATCCTACTTGTCTTTGTGTCAAACTTGCACCCACACCTATTCCTACACTGAATAGTAATCCTAGTACTATCATTGTGTAAAAAATAGTACTCATACCTATTCTGTATGGCATGCACTCTTAAAGCTTTCCTCAACACTGTAGCATTGCTAAACCTAAGCCTATGAACAAGTACAACAGGCTTTGAGAAGTCAGATTTGTCATTAAACCATGGACTTTTGTCCTCTTCATCAGATGAACCATCCAAGCTCCTTAGGTCATCAGATTCTCCCTCAATTTCTTCTTGTAGTTGTACCTCATTCACATCCAAGTTATCTGTCAACCTTGCCTTTGGATCCTTGGAAACCCCCTCATCATGTACGTCAAACTGCTTCCCAAGACTTCTTGTTACCTTAGCTAAAATTTCTTCAGAATTCTGCACAAACCACCTCTCATCCCCACTGTCATACTCCTCCTCTCCATGCTCCCAAGTTATGTCAATCTCACTCCCATCACTTGAAGAAAAATCATCTTCCCTCCCAGTCTCACTGCCCTCACTACTATCCTCAAAAATCAATCCTTTGCCTACAGATTTTTTTTTTCCCTTTCCCTTATCCAACACCTTCACACTGCCAGAACCCCTTTCAAGCTTAGCTTTACCCTTTTGTTTCCCCTTACTCAACAACTTCCCTTTACCAGGAACCCCCTTAATCTCAGCAGAAACCCCTTCAACCCTTTCTATCCCCTGTCTAGATCTAGGTTTAGGAGATTCTTCACCCTCCCTCACCTTAGGCTCATTTTTGTTAATTCTTGGGCTCTTCCTAACTACAGCAGGCTTACCTGAACTTTTCTTCCCCTTTCTCTCAGCCTTTACTGGAGTGGACTGGGCCTGGATCTCATGTATGGGCCTTAATGTTTCATTAGCAGTCACAAATACTTCAACATACCCTTCCCCATTCACTGTCTCCAACAGCCCCTTCACTTCCTCTTCATTTACTAACTCCCTTCTCCCTGTGTTAAAGGTCCTACCTCTTTCTTTATACCAAAGTCTGTAGTTAGGTGGGACATGGACATTAAAGTTCACAAACCCATGCACAGCAGCTACCCTCAAATAATGCAAATCTATCTTATCCACTACCACATCCCTCCTCCAATAACATAACCCACCACACCAACAAAGCAAATGCTTTGATTTTGACACTTGTTTAGTAACAAAAGCACCCCCTACTCTAAATACTATATCAATTAATCCATCTTCGTTGTCGGCCATTTTTCTACCTAATAAACAAATGCAAAGCAAATCAATAAAACCCAACATAGCTAACCCCATTACACAGTCAACCGCAATACTTTAATCAACAAAATCAAACATATTTAAACCAACACAATGACAAACCAGTCAACAGTCAATAAAATCAATGATTTAAACTAAATAATTCACACATTACACTAAATCATACTTAATTTAATCAAATTCAACTTTAATTACAAATTAACCCATTTTACAGTTCTTAGGGTTCCTAATTTTTTTCCCAAATTACCCTACTACACCCACACAAATGGCATAATGCAGCACACAGTACTTGTTGAAAACTACCTTAAAGGGTTCGAAAGGTACCTGTATTGGAATCTTACTCATGTTGCTGTCAGAATCCACGAAAAAGTCCAAGCTTTTTGGATGTTGGAAATGGCTGACGGAATCTCGCTGACTTGTTTCGCTCCAATATTGACACCTCCTCTTCCAACTCAATTTCTCAATCACAATAATCAGTATAGGGTTTGAATGTTCGCAGTAATTTTGGTTGTTCAAGATTTGCAGACGAAATTCAATGAAGCAAAATTAGTTGGGTGGTAATAAATGACAGAGAAGATAAATTCGAATTGAAGGGGATGGAATTTGGAGGGTAAACGACTATGTGGGCCCCACCAAAAAATTCCGTCACAGTTTCTGTTATCTGGTGGTGAAAGCAAAATTTTTATTTTTTAACAGGTGTTATAATTAAACTTCGAAATCTTAAGGTGTTAAAAACAAAATTAGGTCTTTTAACAGGTGTTATTTTCTAATTTTGCCTATTTATTAATAATCATAATATATAATGGTAATATATGTACAATCTCGTGATTAGCCACTACAACAAATTCTTTACCACACGTATCTTAAAAAGAATAATTTTTACAAATATGTTCACGAGATTGGTGTGTAAACAACGGTGGGTTGTAGTCAAGCTACTAATAACGGAGGTAATTGAATTCACAAATCACAATGTTCGTTCCAACTAGTATCGTGGACGTCTATACAACAAGTGGGGTGATATTAAAATTAACATAAGAATTATGCTGATTATTCAAGTACATAAATTTAATGCTTGCAAGATAGAGAATCTCTTCAACACGAGATGGAAATATGCAAAGTGCTAAATGCCATCAAACAATAAAACCATGCTTCTCTAATGGATGACGTCAAGCCAGTTGCTAGGCCACTCTTTAATTAACACTGTCAATTCTTAAACCAAACCATGATATTGTTTGGTACAAAGGAACTGAACAGCTTAGAACCTGATTATTTGGAACTTAAAATTAACCCTAATTATTTTTATTTAACTGAAATTGAATCTAAGTTAGTAATACCATTTACTCTATTCAAAAAAAGGAATACCATTTACTCATATAAGAATCATACCCGATAATGAACGAACCCAAAATTGAGTAGATCTGAATAAGTTTGAAATCGTTACTAACTTGAACCTCATGTAACTTGAAACCATATAAACTTGAGAAGAAATCGTTTAAACATGTCACAGTTGGAAAAACTATTTTCCAATTGTGACCTGTTTAGGCCGATATAATGCTCCATGTAAACTATGAAGTAGAGTATTATGATTATTCGATCCGCTAATTAGTACTTCTCCCGTTCTTTTTTACTTGACTTACTTTGATTTTTTACATTATTTACCACCTCTTCTCTGATCGTCTTTTATGAATAATATGTAAGGAAAACATATTCATGTGAGATCTTTCTAAATTCATCTCAATAAGTACTATTATAGTGTATAACTTTTATAATTTTTACTTATGAAAAATTAAAATTTTATATTGATAAGTGTGATAAAAGAAATAGATCAAATAAAAAAGAACAGAGAAAGTATAACCACTAGCTCAACCCGAATTGTCAACCAAATGAACCCGTTTCAACCTCAATCGAAGCAGAATCGTCCACCCAATATCTACATTCATTAGGCATATCAAGAAGCTAGTCATCCTAGCATTAAATGCATTGTAGGCTTGTAGCTAGGGTTACCTCATGCAGACACATCAACATATATAATAAAGATCCCTTTTGGATGCTCTTTAGTACTTCATAACTCAGGGTTTGTTCATTTCAGCTTAATTTCAATTCAGTTCCAATCAGTTCAATTTCTAATTTTCTTCTCTTATAAAAAAGTCATTTTAACTCAGTTCAGTTCAGCTTTAAGTAAATGTGAACATACCCTTAGTAAGCTTCCTAATTTCCTTCTAGTAGATGAGTAAGGATTTGATTTTATAAAAAATTGGCCTAACCTTTGTACGGAATATATTTTATATTTGTGGAAACAAACATTGGTTGTCCAACAGTCCAAGTCCACTATACACAAAGTCCATCAAGCAGATGTGTAATAAATAAAGATTAACCAGTTTTAATTTACGTAAAGTAATATTTTAATATAGTTTAACGACTAGGATCCCAACATAATCGTTGAGAAATATCAGCATATCACCTCTTGGACTTGTCGAGATATTCTGTTTTTGCTACTTATATTTTATTCTTAGATAGAAAATATATAAATAAATAAATAAAAAACAGTAGGTGAATTAATTACATGGTTTAGGTCAAAAAATTATATACATTTTCAATATATATATACACACACATATTCATACATGCATGTATGTTTTAACGCCTTAAAAAAAAAATACATGCATGTATGTTTTAACGCCTTAAAAGTTAAAATTTGAATTATTAAGAGTATTTTGCATGTTTTTATTTGAGAACTGTTAATAGCCACGTACAACAGTACGAATAAAGGTATAATCACAAATTCCTATGCATTATTATTTGAAGAAACGTTGAGGAACAACCGTTGCGCTCGTTTCAATGTGAGGCTTGGCATGGAGGTACATTATTTCATACTACGATCGAGTAGTATTTTAATGTTGAGTTCATGATGAACAAACTCATATATGAGTTCAAGTGTTTTATCATATTAATTGAGTGTAAAAATAAGAGTGAATATTGCGATTTGTATCCCACATTGAAAAAAAGTGAATATTGTATGTACTTAATATGGTTAAGGGCTTACTCCCTTCATTGTCATATGATTTTGAGATGGATTATCCTTTAACCGACCTCTAAAGTGAATAATCGTAACATATTATATATGTAAGTTGAGGGTAATGGCGGATCCCTGATTTCCAATCAGGTAGTAAAAGAAAAATTAAAACTGGACTTTATTTAAGAGATTGTTCATATTGAAATTTTTCCTAAAAACGATTAGCAAATAATAAACAGAGTGGTTTTTTTTTTTGTTTTTTTTATTTTTATTTTTAATGCCATGCAATGTGTTAGTTTTTAATTTTTTTTATTTTTATTTTTAATGCCATGCAATGTGTTAGTACATTGTTGTGCTCCTTTTAATTAACAATGTGATTTTGAATATACATTTGTTTGAGTACTTATTCAAAAAATATTCACTACGGTATAATATATATATACTACTTATATAAAAGGACAATTGGCTGAAAATAATCCCGATAATTCAGGGTGGGTGTAAATTAATACGACCTCAATTATTTGCTTTCAGCAATACTACCACCTTTTATAGTATATGTGCAAAATGGTATGCTAGCCATCGGAGAAGGTATTTCGTGGAATATTTCGTCTATATTCATTATTATATTATAAATTTTTTTCAAAATACATACTCCATTTTTATTCACAAAGCACACTACTTTGACATGACACATACTTTAAGGGAGATATTAGACTAGATAAACAGTCAAATTAATTAACAATTTTTTTTTACCACCATTAAGAAGAAAGTGTTATGTCAAAAAAAGTGTTAAATTACTACGATTTAAATCTATAGCATAATTTGTTCTCTAACGTAATCTAATCACTTTTTTTAGAATAACAATGTATTTAAATACCCTATTTACTTTTGTTTGATAGTAGAATTTTATGCTTTCTTTACAAAAATTAATTTACTAGCCTAACAGTGGGGTAGGCATGAAATTAATAACATAAAATGTATTTTGAAAAAAATTATAATAAAAAAATTTAATAATAAATTTCGACGGAATATTTCTTAAAATGCCTTTATCGGTGGCTGGCGTACCATTTTGCACATATAGTACAAAAGATTGTAATGCTAATAGCAAATAGTTGAGGTTGTATTATTGTAGGCGTCGTTTGAAGTGCGCATACGTTAAAAGCATGTGTGAATATGCTTGGCACTCATAGGAAGTGGGAATTGACATAATACGATTAGGGACAAGGAAAGTAGGGAGCCGCCAACAAGTTTTTAAGGAACTTGTAAACCGTTCACTGATCATAAAAAGGCAACCACGAATAAAGGACAACGATAGGCAACAACAATTGACCCGTGAAGGTTACACCCCATTCATAAAAAACTCATGCCACGTCAGCATCCACTGTGGCACGGGAAAGTTCACCGTGTCACGGCAATTTCCACCGTGGCACGGTGGATTTTCAGTAAAAAAAAACCACCACGTCACGGAAGCTTGTACCGTGACACGGTACAGTTTTTCGTGTCACGGTGCCCTTGAAATAAGTCCAGTCAGCTTTTTTTATGTCTTCTGTGTTAATTTGGTCCTCATGTCAGTCATTTTTGTTATTGTTCACATGTCTAGCCATACGATCATACCACGAGTCTTATAACATCACTTAGTCACTCACGAGTCAATTAAGTATAGTCCACACACTTTCTTTATGTTCCGACTCGAGTCGTGCACCAGGTCGTTTATGATCTTATATTAGGTTCATGCACCCTTTTTTTATCATAATAAAAAAAATGAGTGGAGTTTTCTCACTTGTTTTCAAATGTCTATTTTTTATTTCCTATCTTGAGCAATAAGTCAAACAATTAAGTGAATTATTTGATTTCACAGTACTTGGTCAAGGAACAGGGATAGATTAATACGGTTTGAGTCATTACCGCAACAATCTCTCAGATCTAATAGGCGTTCAAAGAGAACTTTGCCATCTCCACATTACTCATCACCTTTCAATGGCCACTAAAGAAGATATTGAGAACATCAACAAATCCATCGAGGCACTGTCTGCCATGATGTAAACCCTTACCACTAGGGTCACTACCATGGAACAAAACAAGGTCACTGTTTCCACCCTTGACAAACTGAAGGAACAAATGAGTAAGATTTCTGAGGGTTTCACTTATGTGGAACGGCCTCCCACTCCTTTGGATGTGAAGGACAAACTCCCTGAAAAGTTCTCCACTGCTGATATTCCAAAGTTCAAGCCTACTGACAATCCAATATTCCATTTGAAGGCGTTCTCTGCAACCATGGCTCTTAAGGGATTGGACGTAACACTCTTCCCTACGGTGTTCCCTCT